AGAGATCACGATGATTATTTATGCAACACTTTAAAAAAAAGGGACCATGTATAGGAACTTTTGGGACATCCGGTATAAAACAATAATAAATTTTAATTATTAAAGGTTTAACAAATCTATGATATATACTGTATTACACATTTATAATAAAACGCATGTTTTATTATGTTTTTGAATATAAAATTTTCATCACAAATTTTCAAGTTAGGGTTAGAATTTGGGAAGGGGTTTTTAGGGGCGTAGAGCATTTTTACCTAGGGCATGATTAATTAGCCAGTTTTTGATAATATATATTGGTGCGTTTAGTAAAAGTCATTTTTCAACTCTAAAAAAAAATTTTAATACTATATATAATTGTCCAACCCAATTATAAGATCAACGCATAACATAAAATTCAAAAAAAATAAAAATAAATGAATCGTTACGTAGTATCTCGAAATAACGAGCATGGGTGTTATTTCGAATTTTGGCCCGGATTGAGCTTAATTCGGGCCAAAATTCTAAATAACGCCCATGCCGCTATTTCAAGAATTTACGGTAAAAGTTTTTCAACCCAAATATTCTTACCGAATTTGCGCCCATGGGCATTATTTTAAGACACGTAATTCAAAGAGAGCTAATAATTAATTTAGCCGAATACACTACAATGTTAATAATTCTTTTGCTAAATTAATTATTAGCTCTCTTTGTGTCTCGAATAACGCTTATGGGCGTTATTTCGCGTAGATGCGGTACTGTTATTTTAAGGATCAATATTTAGGCACAATGTTATGGGTCATGACTTAGCATTCACATTAAAACTAAACATTATCATGAGAAATTGACTTCGGGGTACCCTATCAGGGACGGGAACAGTACTGACGATCCATCAGGAAAAACATTTACTCTTATTTTAATTCGTAATAAATTTATTTTTTGTTTATTTTAATAATTCTTATATTGTAGCAATAATTTAACAGTTATATAATATTCACACTATAAATATATTTCATATCTGATACCAAAATATATACTATTTGATTTTTTTTTTTTTAATTTTTTATATATTTATCCAATCACTAGATTGCAAGACCATTAAAGTTTTTTAAAGTAGCACATATATAATGTGAAACAATTAGTAGATATAACCCATTGTTTTATATCGCAAATGAAAACTTTAATGACCTCATTGATTTAATGACTAGATTAATAGTTTGGGGATCGTTAGAGTCGTCACATCGAACATTCAGATAATAAAATAATCCAAAGTGAACCAATAAATCAATAATTATTCATCTTTAAAAAAGAAATGTCAAATAATACATATTTTAATACAATTCCATAAATCAGGCTATATAAAACCGTATTTGGTTTATATTTTTATAGCGCCGATTAAAACCTTAATTAAAGTATTGTATCACTTAATGATCTAAATCCATTATTTGAGTACATCGCTTACGCACTATATATAAAGTATATATGATATTAAACAAGAAAGTATGACTCAATAAATATACAAAAAAAAAAAACTTTTTGTAATGATCAAAAGCTTATGAGTGAATTATTATTATTATAAGAAATCGATCAATCGATTTAAAAAAAATCGACAGACCAAGTCGAAAGTAGCTTTAGCCAAATTTTCCCAGGATCACTAGGCTGTGTGGCTAGAAAGTTTAATTCGTTCCAATTCACTTTCCACCATCTTTCTTGATGGCCCATTAGCGCTAATAGGCTTAGTGGGCAATATGTTGTTTGGAGATTCGTTAGATGGTAATGGTGGTTGGGCTGATCCTGGAGTAGTGGACTGACTAACCGTTTTTTTTTGGAGTAATGCTTGGAAGAAGTTTGCAAGAACTTCATTTTGTGGACCACCAGAAGATATTCCTGGTCTAGAATCATCCTGCATGCCCGGTGGCGGGGATGTGGTTACAGGGGCTTGTTTCTTAAAATTGGAAACAAGCTAAAATCAGTATCATGCTTGTAATGTATACTATAATTAATATTAATTAAATATACTAACTTTGGTAATAGGCTTAGTGGGAGTTATGGTGTTGTCGAGTTCTGAAATGTCAGCACCGAATTTAACATATGAATACTGAGGAACACTCATTGGTCCAACAACCGACGGTGATGGTGTATTTTCACTATTAGCTTTTTGTAAAGTATCATAATGACGTTTAAAGAATTCTTGTTCGTCTTCCGCGACGATGATTGATGGATCAGTAAGTGGCTAAGAACAAAATTAAAAATTAATTAATAAAAGAAAAAAAATCCTAAATAAAAAAAAAAACATTAAAATTATCACATACTTTCTCATTATCTATGTTTTTAATGACTTCTTCGTACACCTTTTTAGCACTGTTTAATTCTTCAGAGTCTTCCGTTGTCTCCTTTTCACCGGTCATATCTAAATCCCAGCCTTGAAGCAGTCCATCACAATCGAAGCCATCTCTTAAGAATTTAATCTGGTTCCAAGAATCCCAACCAGTGGGAACCAATACTGTGTCACGCTCAACAAAATTCGGTTTAACAGTGAGAGTATAAGTAGATTTAGCGTCGCTGGATGAAGATTTTGATCCAAGAAATCGATGAAGAACATATTGACGAAGGTTTTCGAACGTTTTTGGATCTCGAGTGGTTGTATAAAAGAGCGCAGCACCATCTGATTGGTATGATAGATGATTAGTAAGTAACAAATGTAAAAAATCTGAAAGACAAAAATTTAGGATTTTTTACTCACATTTAAGACAGATAGTTCTTAAACTTTGCTGTATGTAATCAAATTGTTCTTCTTTATAATCCATCTGCTTTTCTAACGTGGAAACGTTGTCAGACTACAAAAAAAGTTATAAAGCTCATTAAGTTAATAAACAAAAAAAAAAAAAAAAATTTTCAAGATAATTATACGAATAAATTTCATTACCTTGGTGCAAACCACTACCAATGGCACAGCCAAGTTTGTGGTCAAAACTCCATCGCCTAAAGGTAATGTAACTTCATCCGCTTCGGATGATGCTGGCACTGTTCCGTTTGCAGTGCTAGTATCAGGTTCATTAGCATAGTTTTTAGTATAGTTTCTGATAAAACGTTCGACTATTGTTCATCATAAAAATAAATGTTATTTATTAAATTAAAGCAACAAAAGTTGACTAATTATTAAGTAATACTTACGTGTCTCTTGCATTTCCTCGATGACGGCTTTACCTTTAGTCCAGTCATCTTTAGACCCTACAGCACCTTCCTTTTTTACTCGCTCAATACCTAACTCAACAAATTTAATCCATCGTTGCAATGTTTCAACAAAAGTCCATGGACGTGCCCAGTCTAAAACAATTACAACAAGGGAGTCTGGTAGAGTTGTGGAATTAAGTGCAAAATGAAGGAGAGATTGATAAGCCTCTTGAGAGCCTACAAGTTGATATATTCCAAGACGAGCAAGCGTATCTAAACATAAAATAATTAGATATTTTAATAAATTAAAGCGAAATTGATAATATCGTAGGAATCAATCTTTTTAAAACCTTTCGACAAAGTTAAACTAAATTAAATAACTATAAATTCAATATTTTACCAACCTGCTTCATCATCTTTAACTTCAGTAAAGGTATAACTTAAAGCCAATTCACTGTGATGTTTTTGGCTGAAATTGTTGTTTTCCTCGGCGTCTTTTGAAACACCGTTTACTTCATAAACTTCTTCGTCTTTCTCTCCTTTTAGGTGCCTGATGAGCGTAGATTTACCCGATTCTCTATCGCCTTTAAATAAGCAATAAAGCACGTGACCTTTAGTTTGATACAGGAAGCGGTCAAAATTCTAATTAAAGCCGTTTTAAAGACGAACCTAGAATCAGTAAATTTTTGGTAGGAACAATTTTTGAGGAAGAAACCCCTTTGAGAATTGAAGTCCAGATATCTTCTTGTTGGTCGTTTGCTATTCCAATATTATCTGGTGCTTGATTGTCACCAGTGGTGTCGTTTGATTTTTGTACCATTATAATACTTAGTCGTTAACTTGAATAGTAAAAGGAACGATTTTTTTTTTTACCAGTATTAAGACCTTCGAAGCTGAGAGTTGAGTTTGCTTAAAGCTGTTGGTTTTTTGTGACGTAGACTATTTTAATGGATGTTTTAACCCTGTCACGGGAGATCCGTATATAACTTTTAAGGTAAAAAAGCTTGCTAACAATATACTTTTAATAATTGGGGTTCTGCGGTTTGGAGTGACACTATGCAACCTTCTGACATGACACGGTCATGACTTTTTTAATACGTTTGTGTAGCCAAAAGCTTATGATAATCGTGCAATTCTATGCTTGTCGGATTGATCAAAAAACAAAGAAAAGAAAAAAACCTTTCCCTCTCTTTCCTTTCTGCTTATGATATCATAATATTCGGCACAGATCGTTTCATATTAGACATAGTATCTAGCCAAACCTGGGACCTCAAATCCCGCCACTGCCCAAGTAACACAATCGTTAGATGTGCTGGTACATACCAGGATCATTGACTTGTTTCAGGTTTACCTAAAATACTAAATTCTTTTTCATTAAATTATTATTCATTAACGTTAAATGTATGCTATTCATTCTTTAAAATGAATCATGTCAGGATCGCAAAAAAAAAAAGGTCTTGAATAATGGAATGTTTCCATAGAAATGAGGCGCACAAAATAAATATAGGTATACACAGGCCATTCTGTGTCACGTGACATGATTGGTGACATGATTAGTTACAGGGATTGAATATACAACCCTTTTTAGTAAAAAAAAACTCGCTGTACGGCAAGAATTTTTTTTTTTCTACCTGCTACCGGTATATATGTATGTACATATTTAAAATTTTAAAACCAATCATTCTAAATTATAAATTAATATGAAGTCAAAACTGGATATAATGAACTGCATGATTCTATTTTCAGGCTCGGTCCGGCCCAGGGCCAACTTTTAAAGACCGGCCCGGTTCGATTATAAAATATAAATTTTGGCGATATAAAATTTGTTCAGCCTGTAAAGGTTTTATTTTTACCTTTATTTACTTATTAATTTTTTTTACAAGTTAATCATAAGACTATAACGATAACGATAACGATAATACATACTTGTAATAGTCATGAAATATTTCCTCTTACAGGGGTTCAAAAATGTTTGTACATCAACACATCAACACGTTGATTGCTAAATTTTTATACGAAAAATTCGTGTTCATTTAACAATGAGTTATTTATTTTAAAGTTTTGATAGTGCTCAACCATTATGGCGTTATTAATTAGACCATTTTTGAGAACCGATAGTATGGATGATAACAATGTGATTAATTTATGTTCGTGTTGGTGCCCAAGTATTGCAATTAATTAAAATATTTGATTGCAATTGATGCTTGAACAAACATCTTTATCATTATTACCATTTAGGATTATTGTTTTTATAAATCGAAATAAAAAAAATAATAATAATGATGATGGACCTACGACACTTCCAGATTCTGTCTCTTCTTTTTCAGAATTTACTACAAACCAACAGCACACAAAACGTGCCTTTATTATTTGCGCCGAAGATTTTTAGCATAAGTAATAAGGTAATAATTCATCGACGTTGGTAATGATTTGAAGATCCATAACGATAATGTTAATGTTAAAGAGTGAAGTGCTTGAACAATTATTTTTTCTAATCAATCAATGAAAAATTTCGACCAATAAGCGCAATTTTATGATAAAAAAATGACATTTTGGCCTCTATCTCTTGTTGATTATAATGATAAATACCCTTGATTGGTTAAACGAACTTTCACTAATAAAATTTTTTTTTCTGATGTATTAAACTTTCATCACATGTTTTATTCATTGGAATACAATTGATTCGTTAAACTATTTTTTTTTTATTAATAAAAATTTACACTCAGACCCACTAATAGTCAAACCCTTTTAAATATATTTCTATCGAAACTTACATATTTAAAAAAATCTACAGTGGATTTCATCTAAAGCCAACATATTTTAAATATAGCCGCCAATTTTTTTAGCTGCAGTGTAATCTAATTGTTCAATAAAAATGCAGAAAAACTTAATACAATTTTAAACCTCATAAAATTTAAATTTTTGTTAATAACCTCAAATTTTATGTTTTTTTATATACTGTATAAATATCAAATTTTGGATTATATATAAATTTAAATTAATATAACTTTTTAAAAACAAAAGATATTTAAAAAATTTTTCAATAGTTTAATAGTTTAAACAAAAAGCTATTAAATTATTAAAAAATTTTCTAGATATTTTTTGGTCTTAAAAGGTTTTTTTTTTATATTAAAAGTGTAGTATCTACACTTAAACTTTATTAATACTTAAATGATTGCTATATAGTGGCGCTAATACATATACATATTATATCAAGTACTAAGACTAAGACATTTTCACCTACTTTACCTAATATCTTAACTTTCAAATTGGTATATTAATACTTCAAATAGGCACTTAATGCTTCCAATTTGATGTGTATTTCTACTTGGCATACTTGTAGAGGTTCATATCTCAAGCTATATAGCTGTCTCTACCCAATTGAATAAGTATCTCAAGCTTATATATTATCACAACTGTCAGCTTTTCTGTAACTTTCAGAGTTTAGGTCTTAATATATTAAATTTAATAAATATATAAATAATTATACTTCTTTCTATAATAGTAAAGTACTTAGGCATGTTTTGTAACAAGTTATTTTGTATTTTCAGAACTGCTATAGTTGAATAGTATTATGAAGCTTTTTGTATAACAGGTGCATCATTGTTTCTTTTTATAGTAATTCTTAATAGTTGTAGCTTAGTTATATATTATATATACTTATACTTAGTGTTGTATATAGATATTTGGAGTGCTTTATATTAAAAAAGCATATTTTAAAATTTTTCGAAAAATAAGTTTTTAATAGATTCAAGTAAATTGACTTAATTAACATTTTCAATTATAAATAAAAGTTGATTTGTATAATAAAAAATAGAGATAATATAAAAAAAAATTACACAAGGCTATTCAAGACCAAACACATTATAAAATTACCCAATAGTAATCTGCTATCTTTAACCAATCAAAATTGTGAAATTTGCTCAATTTCAGATTAGTTCAAAAATCAAAACAAATAATTAAACTCAATTATCTTAAAATAAAATACTGTATATATTCAAATAAGCCTTTTTAATATAAAGTAGTGTTTTGTATAGTCCGGTTCTGAGCAGGTCTTGTTAAGAACTATACCCAAACCATCACATAATATCAGGTTCTTATAAAGATTCAGAACCATATTATATAGATCTGAACTCGAACCATAGAACTGGTATTAAATATAGAACTTGGAACTTTCAATAATATTTGTATCAGATGAGTTACTATTTCTCTCACTATTTCTAATTGTTCTACTAATTATTTATATATATATATATATATTAATATTAAAGTGTAGCACCTGCTCTAGATTTTATTAATACTT